TTGTCCCCCCCAGGGCCACCCCATGGCCCCCTCCTTGTCCCACAGCCCCATAGTCCCCTCCTTGTCGCCCCCAGGGCCACCCCATGGCTCCCTCCTTGTCATTCTCCTCCAGGCCCAGCACTGTCCCCCTGTTTTGTGCCCCCCAAGTGGGGCTCCCAGCCCTATGGGGACCCTTTGTATTTCCCAGTGGGGATCCCCACGGGTGGGTGTGAGGGGCCATCCCAGGCACCGCAGGGGAGATCCCAGTCCCACACCCCCAATAGTGCTCGGGAAGCTTAAAACAGGTTTGAGGGTGAGGGGACAGGGACACGCAGGGGCCTGTCCTGAGCCTGGGGGTGTGAGGGGACAGGAGCATGCAGGGCTCTGTCCTCAGTCCCAGTCCCCAGGAAACTGGGCTGGAGAAACATCTCACAGAAAATAAACCCTGTGCCCCTGCCAGAAAACCCAGTGGGCACACGGTCCCATCCAGCCACCGCGTCCCCGCGTCCCCCACCTCCATGGTTTCCTGTGTGGCTCGCTGTCCCTTGGCCCTGTCCTGTCCGCAGAGCCGGTGACAACTGGAGTTGAGCACACACGTGGGGTGGCACCGGGTTCGTTCCTGTCCTCCCGCTGCCCAGCAGTGCCCTGGAGCCCAGCCACTTCTTGGGGTATCAGTTACCTGGCAGGAGAGCAATAAGCACTGTTGGGTGTTTGAAGCCCTGACCCTGCACAGAGATGGTTTATACAACACTGTTTCTCTCTAATTAAATGCTTTTGTCATTAATGGATGTGAAGTCTTCTTTCCTTTCGTGGAAAAGAAGGAATTGTGGTTTGCTCAGAGTCTTTGTGCCGGGAGGTGTGTAGGATCTATCCCTGCATCTCTCCATTCCCATGGTGGTTTGTTTCTTCTGCTCAGATTTTTGACCCGCCGGAAGAACTGGAGAGGAAGGTGCAGGAGCTGGCAGACTTGATCCGGAGTTCCTCCAATGTGGTGTTTCATACGGGGGCTGGAATCAGCACCTCCTCGGGCATTCCCGACTTCAGGTAAGGGCGGTGGGCAGCAGGCAAGGGGTTGGGAGGGTGCCACCTCCTCTGCGTCCATCTTACATCTTGTAAAGCTCTGGGCTGTGCTTCCTGCTACCCCAGCCAGCTCTGCTCCTGGTCCTGGATCCAGCTGAAAATACCCTCACCCTCTTGCACACCCGTTTGATGTTCAGCTGTACGTGCAGAAGCTCTGTGTGCGCTTTGCTTGTGTCAACAAAAATCTCTGGTGCTCCACAACCTTCGTTCAGTAGCACCTTGCTCATCCCCCATTAATACACAGGGCTCGTGGTGCATTTACAACTGTCTTATCATAGAATCATAGACTGGTTTGGGTTGGAAGGGACCTTAAAGCTCATCCAGTCCCAACCCCCCTGCCAGCAGCAGGGACACCTTCCACTAGACCAGGTTGCTCAAAGCCTCATCCAACCTGGCCTTGAACACTTCCAGGGAGGAGCAGCCACAGCTTCTCTGGGCAACCTGGGACACTGTCTCACCACCCTCACAGTGAAGAACTTCTTCCTAATATCTCATCTAAACCTCCCCTCTTTCAGTTTAAACCCATTTCCCCTTGTTTTGTCATTAACTGCCCTTATGAAAAGTCCCTCCCCAGCTTTCTTGTAGCCCCTTCAGGTACTGGGAGGCCGCTATAAGATCTCCCCGGAGCCTTCTCTTCTCCAGGCTGGAGCTCTCAATTCTCCCTCTTTCTGTCCCCATTGCTGCAGGGGGCCCAATGGTGTCTGGACTATGGAAGAGAAGGGGCTCTCCCCAAAATTCGACACTACTTTTGAAAATGCCAGACCCTCCAAGACTCACATGGCGCTGCTGGGGCTGCAGAGAGTCGGGATCTTGAAATTCCTGGTCAGCCAGAACGTGGACGGCCTTCACGTGCGCTCGGGATTTCCACGGTACTGCCTCTCCCACCCTGTCCCTGTCCCAGCCGCTGCCCTGGGGCTGTTCTTGCTGTCCCATTAGCATGTTCTTGATTTCTAAGGCTGGCTTGGAAGCTGTCTGCCCACTGCTATTGGGAGTGCAAACTGGGATGTGCTGGTGTGGGAAGGGGTACATAAACCAGCTTGAATTTAGAGCAGGGAGGTTATGGTAATAATTCAGAGGGTGATGAATTATAGAATCCCAGACTGGTTTGGGTTGGGAGGGACCTTAAAGCTCATCCAGTTCCAACCCCCCTGCCAGCAGCAGGGACACCTTCCACTAGACCAGGTTGCTCAAAGCCTCATCCAACCTGGCCAAGAACACTTCCAGGGAGGAGCAGCCACAGCTTCTCTGGGCAAACTGGGCCAGTGTCTCACCACCCTCACAGTGAAGAACTTCTTCCTAATATCTCATCTAAACCTCCCCTCTTTCAGCTTAAACCCATTTCCCCTTGTTCTGTCACTCCCTGCCCTTATAAAAAGTCCCTCCAAATACCTCAGCCTGAGCTGATGCTCTGTAGTACACCCAGAAGCCATTTGTGCACAAGGAGAACAAACATGTCGCGGTGTTGAGCCGTTGTGTGTTGTCCCCACCAGCTGAGTGGCTGTAGCTGTCAGTGCCACTGTCAGCCCACCTCTGCTGCGTGGCTGCCTGGGGGCTCATGGCCCAGGGAGTGAGATATTGGCTTCAAACGGGGCACGTGCTGCTGGGAACTGGGCTCAGAGCTGCACTCAGGCCACATGCTCCTTTCTGTTCCCATCCAGAGGGGTGAGGGGACAGGATGGAGGGTGAGAACATCTCCAACTGCTCCTGCTGCTCGCAGAGACGCGTGTCACCCTGATTTACCAGCACTGCTGGAGCTGTCTCACAGCACTGCACCTTGTGCTGTTTCACAGTTTGCTTAAATCGAATTTCTGGAGAGAAAAGAAAGTCGATGGCACCACGCCTGGGCCCAAGTTAGCCTTAAAAACCATTTTGCCTCTCAGTAAATTTGCAAAATTGCAAGGGTGGGAAGATGGAGGGAGAGTCCCACAGTTGGAACTGGTCTGACTTACCGGCTGTGGTCTCTGATTTCCTCGCCCGCTGCGATGGGCTCAGGGATCCTGCGTAGCCGTGTTCCCTCCACGGGGAGCTGCGACGTGTGGGAGCCCAGGGTAGGAGATCTGTGCTCCCTGCGTGGGTGGTGGGGACTGAAATGCATTTAGCAGCACAGTGGCTGGTTCAAAGGGGTCCTCAAAGGAACCTGCCTTTCCATTAGCACTCGCAGTCACAGGCTCTTTTCCCTTCAAGAAACCTCAGCCTGTTTTAAAACCCATTTCCAGCTCTTAAAACCAGTGAGCGATTGTCTTGTGAGGCAAACTGCTTGGAGCTGCCTGGAAAGGAAAGGGGAGAGCAGCTGAATTCAAGTAAGGAAATAAAATGAAGGGAGTTGGGATGAGAACGAGGAGCATGAATGGGACCTTGGAGAAGATACATCTCACAAATGCCTTCAGCCATTCCTGGCTGAGCAGAGCTGCCTCCAGGCACTATTTCCTATTATTAAAAGCCCTGAGTCCTGGTTCCTGCTCCCAGTACCACGTTTGCCTTTTTTAAATAAACAACCATGGGGAAAAATAGAAAATAATGACCAGAACTGAGCTCTGCTCCCTGCAGCTTAGTGCCACCAGCTCCTGCTCTGCTTTAGCACAGCTCTTCCAACCTAAGCAAAGCACGTGCTGAAGTAAGCGCTGCTGAACTGGGGCCAAAATGGGGGGAATCAAGTCAGTCCTGTCTCCTGATCCACCCTGGAGCAGGTTCCCAGTCACCATGGGGCTCGTAGGAACACAGGGAGAGTGTGGCTTTGTTTTCTTCTAACTTCTGTGCTTTGAGCTCCAGGGGAGTTTTAATCAAAACGAGTGGTAAAAGGGCTGGAACTGTGCAAGGACAGAGAGGAACACGGAGTGCTGAGAAAAGCAAAGATCCAGGTGACTCCCAGGCACTGAGAAGATTTGGAGCTGGATCAGAACAGGGGTTAGAATTGATGCTGCAGATGGAAGCATTTAAAATTAAAAAGCCAGGACGTGCTGTCCCTCCCTGTAGTCCCAGTGGTGGTGGCCATAGTGTGGTGCTTTTGTGATGGAGATGAAATCATGGCACAGAGGGTTCTCACCAGGATCTGAACACGTCCTCTGGATCTCCCCTGCCCCATGAGGGGAACAGCTCTACCCAAACTCCCTTTGAACAGAATTTCTTGTGTTCAATGCACAAAGCAGCACTCAGTGTGCTGTGGTGTTACCAGCACCTGCTTGCCCTGCATGTGGTGGCCACTCTTGGCACAGGGAAGTCCTCACAATCGGTGGCTGGACCAGAACTGCCTCTCTGCAGCAAGGCCAGGTTGTTCTGTGGCACCCAGAGCCTGCTGACACTGGTGCCTTGCTCTGATGCAACCATATTTATCTATAACTAATATAATTCCCCTCAGTGCAGCCCCTGTGCTGGGACACCGTCCCCAGGCTGTGGCAGAGGGTCCTGTCACCCCATGTCACCTGGCAGGTCTGATCTGGCAGAGCTGGAAAGAGGGGGAGCCCTTGAGGTGCAGGGTCCCCAGTGAGGAGGGGGGTTTGGGCAGCTTCCCCTGCTGCCCCAGGGCTCTCACCCTTCCCCAGCTCACCTCTGCTGTTTCTCCCGCAGGGATAAGTTGGCTGAGCTCCACGGGAACATGTTTGTGGAAGAGTGTGTGAAATGTGGCAAGTACGTGAGCCCTGGGTCTGGGGAGGGTGTCAGTGGGGTGGGGGCTTTGTTACCAGCCCCGGGGAGTGATGGA